AAGAAAATACTGGATTGCCCTGGTCGGTGTGGTTCAGTGGTTAGAGCGTCGTCCTGTGCACTGAAGGTTCATGGATTCAATACCCAGCCCTGATCAGGGCATGTGCAGGAGGCAGCCAATCGATCTGTCTCTTACATTGGTCTTTATTTCTTTCTCCCTCCCTCCCTTCCACTCTCTCTCAAAATCAATGGAAAAAATATCCTTCATGAGGATTAACAAAAAAAGAAAATACTAGATAGAAATGAACATCATTTGGAAAAGGATTGTGTTAATACATTATGAAAAAATGGATGTCTTTAAATCACTTTTGAAAAATGTCTCTAATGTATTTAAATTTAACTTAAGAAACGAAAACTGTGCAAATGTTAAGTGGTAAATGTAGAATAGCCCTTTTCCCTCTATAGTTGTCATCATTGTATTATCTTCTTGAATGAGGCTTTGCTGAGATTCCTGCTGTAGGGGACCCTCATGTGGAGGTGTGGTATCGAGCCTGACCTAGCCCCTGTCCTTGTCAGACAGAATACCTACCATCACACACCTCCCAGGTTAAAAATGCTCTCACCGGTCATGGAAACTCAGGGTGGTGAGAGGTGCTGGATTAGTAACAGTGCTGGAGAGATGACAGAATCGGGTCTCACTCTCCAGGCCCATCTGCCTGTGTGGGAGGTCGCCAGGGCAGGAAGGCACCGAGCGTGCACAGAGCGGCTTTGTCTGTCCCTGGTGCCACCCACTCATCCTCTACTGCTCCTGCACTGAAGTGCCACATTCCTGGGGTTGGCTCTTGCGAAGTTTAATGGAAGGTCTGACAGGGGTGTTTTGTTGGGTTCTTTTGGCTCCTGCAGGTGATGACTTGTTCCTTCCTGCACCGCTGCCCAGTGGGAGCTGGCTGCTCTGCTTTCCCCTGCGCCAGGGCTTGGAAAAGCCCAGGGGATTTTCACTGAAGTTGAGATCAAGGCTTCAAAGTATCTTTGGCTGGCTGCGTACAATGAGTGTGCACGTAATGGGGTGGAGGGGTGTTTAATGAGATATTTCAAGAGAATGTTGATTTGTACAGATGAACCTTAAATGTCTTCTCAATCGTTTATTCATCTAGAGACTAGGAGTTTCGATAATTATTTTCCAATATTCTCTTTTCATGGGGAAAGGAATCCTCAGGTACCATTCCACCATCTCTTCCTCTCCCACCCTCACTTCTGTCCATGTTTTTCATTGTCCAGTAGAGAAAGCCATCTGAAGCTTCCACCACAGTTCCCTTCAAAGTAGGCATCATAGTGATACCGCCCCCCCCCCCCC